GGGCTCGGCGGTGCATGAAAAAGTGCTGCGTAACAGCAGACTCTAGCTGTTGCTCTACAAGGTATTAACGTGGCTTTTTCATGCCGGTGGTGGAGGGGGATCGGGGGGGAGGGGGACAGGGGGGCGTCTCTTTGATGGTCAGCACTGAGGTTATCAGTCAGGTCTGCTCTGTTATTGCTGTTACTGGCACTGATTGAATTGTAAAAGCACTTTAATGATGCTTAGGACCAAACATGTGGGCGAGCCGAGGGAGATCAGAGCCCTAGACTGCCTGACTCTTCACCTCCGACCTCTGACCTGAACCAGACCAGGCCAACACTACGATACCGCCCCGCGCTAGAGGGTTGAGCAATCCACTTGACCGTCTTCTAAACACGCGAGTGCAGTGTTTAAAAATTCCACTTTTACACAAAATTATTAAACTCTGCGAAATAACAAGCCGTACTTTTTGTGGACACATCTTTCCCTGACGCACGCCGCGCTGGCGTCCCTCCTCAAACATGAGTCAGCTGTGTTATAAAGTTCAACAGCTTATGCTAAGTGAACTAAGCCGTGTCAGGGTGATCCCGAGAACACTACTCCTCACTTTTCTTCTAAATCGTGTTTTTGGAAGTGATTGAGGCAGAGATAAACTTCAAAGAGCCAGGAGTGTATTACTGACACTGATCACACACTGCAGGCTTGTCTGAGCACACACAGATACACTCACCCCAGGGGAGGGGGCGCAGGAGGGGGGAGGGGGGCTGTGATTTATTCTTACGATTATCTTAAACTTGGAACACGAGGGTAAGAAAAAAGTAATAGAGACTATTTGAACAAAAATCTTTTTGACTTGATTGTTTTGTTTGTGTCTCAACACTGCGTTTCTATCAGAGACATATTTCATGCCAGGTCCAAACCTGCTTCTTCGTCTCGTGAAGAGCCAATTTCCTTTCAAATGTTCGTCCTGTTTTGGGGAAAATAATATAGATCAAAACCTGTTTCAAAACAGGTTTCCAAGAAAGTTTGGTCAAATAAAAAAAGCTTGTCTTTTGAGGGTTGAAAAAACAAGACTTAAAACATGAAAACTGCTCATATATGACAAGGGTAGGATGAGAACGGTTGTGGAGGACGAGCGTCAACATAGTTTAGTTTAAAATCAGACACGTCAGTCTTAGCACACGACTTTTTGACCCCAAAAAATGACTGTGCGTTCTGGTCTTGTTAACCCTTCAGGGTCTGAAGGGTTAACTACGTACGTTTCAATGTAAAATACTCATTTTTACAAAAATGACTCATTAGACAAATGAAACACTACAACAAACTACAGTAAACGGTTTAAATACCAGTGACACAAATATACCTGACAAATTCAACATTCAAACCGAGGCCTCGGAGGAGTGTAACGGTCCTACCTGTCCCCATTCACCAGGGATCCAGCGAGGAGGAGGACAGCGTCCTAAACTACAGCGGATTCTGACTGGAGGTTTGTTGTGGCTGGGGCAGTGGGCCGGCGGGAAGGTCTTGCTCAGGTCGCTGCTCTTACACAAGGCTATGCGGTGCTTGTAGCCAGGGCCACACTTAGGTGTGCACTGAAGACAGAGAAGGAGATTTTTCAGGAAGGAAAGTAGGAACGGCACCGACAACAGAAAGAGCCAAGTGAAGTGTTGTACCTCCGACCAATCCAGAGTCACCCACTTTGGCGGGCATGACTGATTGTTACACGACTCTCGTTCGAGCGGGCGATGAGTGAGACAGTGGGTGTCCTCGAGTGTCTCCTCCTCAGCGCGGCCAATCTTCCTGATACACAGGACCGTCCTCGTCCTTATCCCACCGTCACACGTCTTCCCGCATTCTGACCAGTCACCGATAAACCACCTAGAGGAGTGACACGTTACTGTCAGTATTCGTCGGTACTCAGGCAAAACAAAACAAAGATACAAATATTGATTTCAATAATTCTAATGGAACTGTAATAGAATAATACAACTATTTTAAGCTTTGATCTGATTTTACATCATCACTCTGTGACTTTGACTAGTCCTGACAAATGTAATGGTCCCTTTATTTATAGTATTTTTTCAGCTTTTGCCTTCAACAAGGGGGCGCTGTTGTGGTATTGTAATAAGTGATTTAGAACAGTTTGTCTGACGCAGCCTTTCCCACTGAGGGCAGGGATTAGGTCTGTGGTGTACGGGGAATCTGATTCCCATTAGGATTAGGAGAGTGACTGAACTGTTACTGCTCTTGTTAATACAGCTGTTATATATACCTGCTGTCTCTCTCTCTCTCTCTCTCTCTCTCTCTCTCTCTCTGTGTAGTTTCAGAAGTTGTGGTACTATTTCATCAGACAGTGTGGTACATAGCAGCGAAAATTCACTTACAATTTTACAATTTTCATCAAATACTCCAAACAAAGACATTATTTTGTAAGACTAAATAAAAAACTAAACAGGAAGTTACACTGGGCTAAATGAAGATGAAGAAATGTATGGACGCTGTAGTCAAATAATGAATACAAAAACAAATCAAACCAATGTTAATTTTGTCAAATAAACTCGAAAAACAAATTAGAGCAGGAGCCAATCACAGCTGTGTTTGTTGCCTAGAAGGCGGGACATCTAATCAGAGGTCTGGTAGTAGAATAAACAGAGGATGGTGTGAAGGAATCCTCTGATCAAAACCTGTGGAGGTTCGCAGTCATCCAGGTCAAAAATAGATACATTGAAAACAACTGGACAAAGTCGATTTTTTTTTTTTGAAGATGTTTTGCCTCTCATCCAAGAGGCTTCTTCAGTTAAAGTTAAAATAGTTCTATTGACTAAATGTGGACTAAAATGAAAGTTGAACTGTCCAAAATAACACATGTATACAGCGTTTAAACTGTAATAACCACTGAAGTAGAGTACATCAGTACACATGCAGTAGTCCAGATTACTGAGTATCTGTTTCACCTAGTAACAACAGTCAACAAACACTGACGTGAACCAGATAAACACCAGGACCTCAGTCTGTCCTCGTCCCGTGGTGACCTATGACTCCACCAGGCTGTCATTCCATCTCTGCTCTGATTGGCTGTGACTCACAGAGGGTTAGCATTTATAGATCATAAATACATTAATGAATGATGGAACTCCTGCGGTGGATGTTGTAGAGCGGCGTTATAGGCGTCTAAGCTCAGCAGATTCCGACCTGATGTGGTTCTGTCCTCTGTCGTCACCGTCAGAACAGACATCGTAAAAGTGCACAGACAACAGCCTCTCTAAACACATCCAGCCTGTGAGATATTACATCATGCAGAAGAATGCATTCAGATTGAACACCGCATTCAAACATCTGCTGGCTTTCATTTCACTGGCTCGTAAAAGCAGGGCTATTGTAAAACACTGTGTTTACACGGAGTCTCTCTGTTGACCCTGGTACTGCGCAGTGCGTTTGCCTCCTCTCATGGACTCATGTATACAGCGCTGCAGCCTTCAAATATTAATCAAACAATTATCAAAACAAATGAAATATCATGGTCGCACGACCACCGAATACAGATGTGAAAATAAATAACCCACAGACAGCATCGTGAGCTAACCAAAACAAATGACCGCTAGATTTACTATTATTTAGCCACGTTGGCTGGAAGACAACAGCACGCACTTTCATGCACACAGAATTGTTAGATGGTCTGAAACTAATTAACAACCATGTGATTAATCTCTAATTTTTTCCAAGTGTGATTGAGTCTGGCTGCGTTTCCAGCTACAACACGGGCCACCAGGTTCATATTCCACCTGTACACATGTATATTACCCCTCCAGGATCAGTGGAGACGCCAAAACAATCAAACACAGGTGGTCATTTCCAAGGCTCTTATTTTTGGCACCGAGCAAAGCTTGAAAATAGTTAACATATGCAGCAATAAATCACTGACGTTTTTATTTTATTATTTTCTATCAAACACATTTTACAACCTGGGCTTATTGAAGGTGAATTCATATCAGCAGTCAGCCAGGTTTTATGGACACTTTCCCTTTTGAAAACATTAACTGACCGCTGCTTTACTCAGTCTGTGTGTGTGTGGTGTCAAAGGTGTCACTGGGACCAACACAGAATTAACGCGGTTTTCTCTTGCTTTTCTTTAGTACGTTTTGGTTTTCGTCACGCTCATTATTGTAATTATTACAATACTAACTTTTACCAAGTTTTTTCATTTTTGTGCTCACCAATACCATCACCAATACTTTTATAGTTGGGTTTTAAAAATATGCAATTACAACTCGTTACAACTCCAGACCAAATGAAGTAACTCTGCCATACCACAGTAGGATGGAAGAGCATATTTTACTGTCTCAGATTTGAGACGTGGAGGTTTTTAGAGATATATGAAACCTGGAAACCTTGTAAAAAATTTGTCACAGGTTTTGATCTACCTTTCTATTTTTTTTCTTCCCCCAAATCTCAAAAGGACTTGAATTGAAAAGTAGTGTTTCATGACTCGGTGTAAAAGACATCCCTGAGAATTCTCTGAATGAATTAATGAAGTGTTTGCACTTCAATTAAAATAATTTTTGTCTTAAAATTTCCTCAAAAAAATCCTAAGACTTTTTTCCACTACATGGTAATGTCATCTCGCAATCCTAAGACTTTTTTCCAAGTTCCACTACATGGTAATGTCATCTCGCAGTGAAAGTAGAGACTAATGGTGTGATTTCTCTGGCTCCTACCGTCAGTCCTCCACGGTACAACAAACATCAGCAGCGAATGAAGATTTATAATGAGAAAAAGGTGACTTTCTGTACAGTCTCTGCTCCGTGTCTTATTCAAACGTTGCGGTGTGGTCGCGGCTGTGGTAAACGATGGTGTATGACACAACAACAATGGAGATTTTTGGTAAAACACAAACAGCCTGGAGTTGACGCAGACAGTGAGTGAGATTGATGGTGACGTACTCTGGGGGACAGGGCTCGGTGTTGCAGTCCCTCTGGTTCTCTGGAGGTTTGCTGTCTGGGTCACAGTAGCTGTTCTGCACCACAGAGTTGTCATCCAACCTCTTACACACCACTCCCTGCTCCTGGGAACCTGCATGAATGGAAGGGGAAGGGAGAAGAAGACTGATCAACACGACAGCAGCGCAGCTCAGCTGATCTTGCACATTAAATGACTGAAGAAACATGGAAGGCGGCCGTCGTGTCGAGGGCTGTGTTTGAGCAGACACGGTATCGCTTTCAGTCTGTAGCAAATCCAGACATGTAAATTCCTGATTCTTTGCAGGATACCTTGGCAAATCACTTTTACAGAGCACAGAGCTCTTTACTTTGGCTTCTAACGGAGGGAGTGAGGGCTACTGTATCGGTGTCACAACTCTCAGTGTGAGTGTGTGTGTGTGAGTGTGTGTGTGTGTGCCACTGCAATTTAGAAATGGTCTGTTTAAACCCTCCTGGGACAGATCTCACTGCAGACTTGTCTGGCAGCTGTAATGAAATATGGATCTGTGTGTGTGTGTGTGTTGAGTGTGTATAGAAAATGTACCTATCAGTTCTTGAAATGAAATCCATGGGTTTTATTAGTGCGGTGAATTATTAAACAACACCTGATGATTGGCTGAGCTGACTGCGTGTTTAAACGCGGCGTCGTTGATTTACAGCTCGGTGCAGTCGCAGACACACGGTAGACACAAATTAGATCATTTGAGTCAACAATGCACAGGCATGTTTACGACACCGGACGGCACTTTGTGCCTATCCATCTAAGGAACGGCTTCAAGCCTCCGCTCTGCACTTGGAAATCCCTTCTCCGAGGAAGCCACATGTGAATTCAGTCGTGCTTTTACAAAATATTACAAACGCGTCCAGGCCAGGCTTGACATCTGGGGAGAAACATTGTTTATTGTTACATGAAACCCATTGCTTTTGGGCTAAAAGGTTTGGTTTAGTCATTCTTGAGGCCATGGTCAACATTTCAGTGCGGTTAGAGATTCTGGATGAAGCGCTCTGGAGGAGCGGCCGCATCTGTGTGCATTGCTGGTAAACCAAAAGCTATGAAGAGCAGCTCATTCACAGAAATGACACCATATTCATTACTGTGGCAACAATATGGAAAATATACATATTCAATTTATGACAGGGCTGAATCCCCAGGCTGTCAGGTAATGATTTTGGAAAACCAGCTCCGGTTACAATCCCGGGTTTCCACACACTCCTCAGCATTTGTGGAATTATTAGTTAGAAGATTTACAGCCACTCAACACACACACACACACACACACACACACATATGCACGCGTAGAAGGAAAACACACAAATATTCTGTATTAAATATCTAAGAATGTCAAATGCATTTTTCTGTGTATGTGCATTCTGCTGTTGTGCAGATATCCTGCAAACATGTGCATCGAGCAACGTTGTGGACATTTTTATCTTAGACCTCAGATTAGATTAAATTAGGTTTTTGTTTTTTTGCGCGCCTCTACCTCCGTAAGAAGTAAAAGATAAAAGCTCAACACCATCCTGAAAACTGATCGCTCTACTGAATACAACCAGACAATCAGGATGATCGATGATGACATCAACCATGGAACCAACCATGTACTGTGGGTTAAGGCTAACAAACAACTGAGAAACTACTATCAGAGGAGATGACGTCACAGGTCCAGTCCCTGAGAGACGACAGCTCTCTATGACAGGAAGTGCTCAGTGTGAGAGAGTGGACGACACGTGCCTGTACATAACAAGGTCAACTAAAGAGACTCACAGATGGAATCAACGGTGCAGTTTTCTAAACTTCTCTGTACACAGTTCATGGAAGTAAAACTGCTGTGTGTTTGGTTAGGACTCCCAACTGGAGCAGATATTGGGATAGAAACTGACTTTTAGGAGCTGAAGATTAACACACAGGTGAGGACAGAGATTTAAATATGACCAGTAGATACAGAGGGAACACTGACCAGAGGCTGGTGATGAAGGAAGGAAGTCGTCAACCAGGAAAAAGATAATGGGTTGACGTTGACAGATGGACAGCCCATGTGGGGAAGGGGAGGGAGCTGGGGGTGGGGGAGCCACAGAGGACGGACGCTTTGATGAAGACAACAGTGCTGACAGGTGCAGAGGAAGAGGTACAACTCCTGGTTGGGGGCCAAAGATCAGGCTCAGACAAGAACACGACTCAGGAACAGACAGAGTCAGAAACAGGGACATTTCGGGGTCACAGAGTGGTGGAAGTGGACCAGGTGAAGAAGATGAGAGCAGAAGAGGAGGTGAAGAATATGATATCTGTGTGTACCAGACAACCAATGTAATGCTGGTAGGTTCATCACTTCAGTAAAACCCCACTTGGAATCTGGCCCATGTGGGCAGCTACCGTAAGAACACTTGATAGCTGCTGGAGAAAGACTGTACGGACCAAACACTAAGTCCAATGGAAGATTTGTACAGAAACAAAAGCAATTCAAGTTTCAGATTTGCAGGTGACACAGGCTGAGAAACAACACGTGGAGCAGGAACCGTGAAGCTCCGTTCAAATCTCTAAACCTGACTGACACCATGACAGCAGTGTTGTTGCAGTGTTCACTTTACCTCCAGCGCAGGTCGCTGAGCACTCGGACCAGGGCAGGTGGTGCCAGGAGAAGCCCACCTCGTTGTCACCGCTACCTGTGCGCTGGATGGGCACGTTGAATTTGTAGCGTATTCCCATGTTCTGTTCCTGAAGAAGGACCTGTGAATACACAGCAAGAAGAGAAAGGAAATAACAGTGAGGGGCTGCCAGTAGATAATGAAATGATTAAAGTTGTTTTGACTGCGTGTGTGTTTAGAAGAGTGTTTTTGTCCAGATAAGCTGAAACCCAAACATAGGTTTAAGATAAGATACTTTATTTAACTTTTTTTTTACCTGTGAAAAGGCCAATCATTTTCAACTGAGGGGCCAGACGGTGGTAGAGTGATTAGTGCTGATGCCTTACAGCAGGAAATCACAACGTTAAACTGCATTTCTAACAGAAGGCTTTCTGACTGTTGAATGTCTGAAGAGTTTGACTCTGGGTTTTCTCCAGTGTTTTCAAAAACATGCAAATTGTGGAATAGTTTATTTAATGGACGTTTTGTCTCTGTATGTTTCCCTGTGATGAACACAAGAAAAACATGTTTTTTTTCCCAGTTTTGAGTAAAACCACTAATAAGAACGAGCAATAATAAAAAGAAATTACATAAAAATTGTTGATTATATCATGTGGTAAATATTCTCAAACAGTAAAACATACACTGATATCTATACACTGAGTCCTACAACAATAAAATTGATATATAGATTAATAAAAAAAAAAGTGTGAAAATGTGACTCCTTCCATATTAAAAATCAGACCAGTTCTTCGATCATTACAGCTCTAAATGCAGTTCCTCAGTCCAGATGAGTGAGGCTTTATATGCGTCTGAAACAGAGGAAGTAAAGCACAGCTTTTCAGGCCACAAAGAAATAGCTAGTGGTCAAGTAACTGCTGGCTGGTCTACTCCAGCTGCACTGTGTGGTCTCAGTATTTTCAGATTAAAAGCCCTGGCTAATACAGCAAAAAAAAAAAACACGTGATGAAAATCATTACAGACTTTTACTATACGTGCAGATACTGTGTATGTGATATGTGTGTGTGTGTGTGTGTGTGTGTGTGTGTGTGTGGTTTCTACCTCAAACCGCTGCTTTAGGGTGAGCTGAGGTTAGCATGCAGATGTACTAAAGTGGAATGAAAGACACTAACATCAACAAGCCTCAGAGCGAGAGGAGGCGTTTCAAGTGTCCCACATTATATAGGCTGTGAATTTATTTTAATGACAGGAAAACGTATGGTTTTCATCCAGGTGAGGCTTTATGTTAGCAACCGTCCAGGTTCTAAAATATACAAGTAGTAGTTTGAATTTCTCCTCTAGACACTGTCTCAGGAGTGAATAAAAAGCCGCTAAGAAATGTATAGAAAACGGAAAATATAGACGTGGGCCAACCCGATCTGGTCACACCACTGACCTTATCTGACCGCTCGTGTCTCAGTTTTGAAGACGAAAGTTCCTTAAACAGCAATTTGTGGAGACGATGTCAAGGGGAGCTGCCACTGCTTGGCATCAGACCAGTGAGGTCAACGCAGACCAGGTCTTAAAGTTAAGTTCTAGAAGTTTCCTGCGTAATAAGAGCTCCCTGATTTCCACAAATGAAAAAACTGTTACAAAAACTAGAGCAGGGAAGAACGATGACACATGGCAGAGAGAGTGTGCATCTGATGATAGCTCGTACAAACCTGTTCATTTGTGTACTTGGCATCTGATGATAGCTAGGGTCGTACAAACCTGTTCATTTGTGTACTTTTCTTGAAAACAATACAAACATTTTTTAGATACATGTTCATTTGTTTTTAATTTAGTTTAACACAGACAGGTAATGTTCAAATCAAACCTGTTTTACTTCATTCTCTGTCAGATGGTGATACTGATTGCACATAGGGGAAGTCTAGGGATCAGTGTTGGTGTCAGGATATTTGGGCTGATATCTTTAACTGCAGCTTCATGGTGTCCTGATGTTCAAGTGTCCACTGACGTAAAACAGAATTCAGTGATAAAAACAAACAGTGTATTACCATGACAAAGAGGTTTTCAGTGGTAGCTCCCAACGCCTCCAAAGACTCTGGCTCATCCGAGGGTCTCTTGTAGTGGAACACTGTCCCTGCGATGTCAAACTTCCTGGGCCAGTCGATGGTCCACGCACCGTTGATGTAATAATCGTCTTCTTCGGATTTCAGAGCTAGGTAATTACAGAAATCAAGAAGCTTTTTAGGGAAAGCTGGAAAGAACACCAGACCGGAACAGTAGTCGAGGGAACAGGTGGAGACGGTCATTTTGGTGTGATGTCATGGCTGTCAGTCATCTTCACCGTCATCAGCATGTGTATTCAGA